AAGTCTGAGGCCTGGGTCAACTGGACCTCCTGAGGATGTCACCTCATCCATGGGCCCTAAGGCTACACATCTTGTTAGATTTAAGCTTAGTCCTCTAAGTGGGGTCTTGGAACAAGGAGCCTGGCTCTTGGAATATCTCCATTAATGTTTGCTCAGAGTTTTAAATACAATTTTTTTCAAAAATAGGGATTAGAGAATAGCAGTTAGGTTCAAATGAGAGAAAAGAGATCTGAAATGTGAACAGGGGTTTACAAAATGCTGCTCCATTTATTTTTTAGATATCAGACTCTGCAATCCCATTCCTATATTTATGCCTGCATTGCAATTTTTATCAAGTACTTCTATAATCCAAATTACAAATATTTATAATACTCAGTTGAATTCAATACTGTGAACTTAAGAACCATATCTCTTCAATAACCCCTTAACAGCCACCTGATTATGGCTCAAATCCAATAATTCTAACTCATTCTGAAAGCAGGTATCTCTCAGATCCACTCTGAGTATACTCAAGTCCTTAGGTTCACTCTAAAAAAGGCAAAAGTTCTAGCTGCACTAGAAACATCTAAGCCTCTCCAGATTCTTCAGCGATTCTCCTGCCTCAGCATCCCGAATAGCTGGGAATTACAGGCGCCCGCCACCATGCCAGTGAACTTTTGTGTTTTAGTAGAGAATGGGGTTTCACCGTGTTAGCCTGGTCTTGAACTCCTGACCTCAAGCGATCCACCCGCCTCGTCCTCCCTAACTGCTAGGATTACAGGCATGAGCTACTGGGCCAGGCGCTTGTGTCTTTGTTAAACTCTGAAAGTCAGGAAATTCCGGCAAACGCTATTTCTGGTTACCAAGCTCGGTTTGACAATATCAAGTCCTGCCGAACACGACTTCTTGTGGACCAAATCGGAATACACCAGCTACTGCCATTTTTAAGTCGTTGTTAAAAAGGTTTAACCGTAACTGCTTTTTGTTGTTTGTTTTGTTTTCCGCAGGAAATTTAGTCTTAGGTGTAACATGTGCTGGTTTAGATGTGCCAGAGATACCCTAATCGTAGGATTTGCATCTTTTAGCAAGGTTTGTAATTTCTTCTTTGTAGGGTTAGTTCTCTGTAATTTTTGCCTTTTTTTTTTTTCTTTTGACAAAGTCTCCCTCTGTCGCCCAGGCTGGAGTGTGCAGTGGCGTGATCTCGGCTCACCGCAACCTCCGCCTCCCGGGTTCAAGCAATTCTTCTGCCTCAGCCTCTTGAATAGCTGGAACTACAGGTGCGCGCCACCATGGCCAGCTAATTTTTGTATTTTTATTAGAGACCGGATTTCACCATATTGGCCAGGCTGGATTTTTGCTTATTTTTAAATTCTCTTTTTGTGTCTTTTGCTCTGAGAACAATGTTACTGATGTGTTTGCTTTCCATTTTTACCTGAATTTTAGCCTTTTATTAATTTTATTTTTATTTAGATGTTATGTTTTTTCCTACTAATTTTGAGTATCTCAGCTTCCTGCTCCTTAACTTACATTCTCTCAAGAGCCAAGGGGCCGAGCTCGGTCTTGCTGCTGTCAGGTCCCGGGTTGCGTCTGGCGGCTGTGCTGCTTTTGCGGAGCTGGTGGTTTTGCATCAGCGCTTTTGCCAGTAGAGCCCACTAGCGTTTTCTCAGTTGCTGCACCGTTCTTAGCGCCCAACCGGACGTTTCCCGTTCGCCGGGTCCTTGTGTTCTCTGTGCTGTCACTTTCTTGGTTCTCACACCGCTAGTATCTGTAGGGCTAAGGGCCCCATAGGGTCTTGGGGTGTCCCTTATGTTGTGCTGAGGCGCAGAATCCGAGAAATAAAGAGACAGGGCACAGAAGTATAAGGAAAACGCAGCTGGGCTTGGGGCGGGGGTGGGAGGGTGGGGGGGCTGCGGCTGCACAACCTATAAGCGGAGACAGGGAAGGCCCCGAAGGGTCTGAATTTACTGGGTATAGGTTAGGGGGCAGGGTAGTGAGTGAAGCCATCTTTAAGGATAGTGATTAGGGTCATGAGCAATAAAACAAGAGGTCCACCCCTATTAGGTCACCGAGGCAAGGAGGTGGGCCGTGTGCAGCAAGGGGGTGCAGTGTGCAGTTTTATATCTATCTATATGGAAATAACTGGTAAGATATTCTTTAGGCACTCAGAATATATGAACTAATATATGATTATATAGAGAGAGGATTATATAAAGGGAAATAACTGAGTAGTAATATAAACGGAGATTTCTTCAAGCCCTAATTCTACAAACCAATATGTGATTATATATAAAGGATTATATAAAAGGAAATAACTGAGTAGTAACACTATAAACTGAGATATTCTTCAGGTCCCAATTGTGCCAGGATTCTGCTTAGCTCTCCTTCCTCGGTACCTATATGGGGGGGTTACCCACATGTATCACCTAGGAACTTCCTGAACCCGGTTTTATGTTGGAGAATGGTGATTGCACCCAGCCGCTGTACTCACTAGCAATTTTGTAGTACCGTTAGCCGGCGCTTTTCCTGTCACAACACATTAAACAGGTTAAAACACATTAAACGGATTAAAACACATTAAAATGCTACAACACATTTTTCTGTCACAACACATTTAAACAAAGTGGATTCATTCCTCCAAACAGGATGTTTAGGCGTCGAGGCACCCCTCCTTTCTAAGAGCCCGCAGTTTCTTTCTAGCAGCACCGTTTATGGCGCCAAAACAAATAGTTGTTTGGCAACACCAGTGCAATCCTCTGGGTGCCAGCGCTTGCTGAGTCCCAGCGCTGCCAGTTTCTCCTTAGGTCTTAGTAGCGCAAAGCCCTAGCGGACAGGTTCCGGTGGCAGCAATGCTCATTTCCTGGAAACAGTTGGTTCTTGGCCCCTGAAGCCTCTTTAATTCCTGAGATCTGTAGCGCTGGTTCTCTGCGAGGGTTGCTTAGTGTCCGTTTCATTTCGGTTTCTTTTCTTGCTATGTTGTCGGAATTACAGTTTGTTTTGGTTCTATGTAATCTGTAAACTTTTATCGTTTTTCATTTGTCTACTAATCTTCGTGAATTGTTTACTACTAAGCTTCATAATAGCTGGCTTGCCTCCGCCCACGGGTTCCGGAGCGCATAATACCCGCGGTGATGGTAGGGCTAAAGGCTCTGCCTCCTTGATTAGCACAAATGCTTGTGTCCTGCTCTAAGGCTTAAGCGAAAGGGCAACATTTCTTTGGCTGTGCGAAGCGGGCTTGGGATTCCGAAGAGGTGGCGCCTGAGCCCCATCCTCCACCTGTTCTACGTTCAGAATATTGTCTCTACTAAAAATACAAAAATTAGCTGGGCGTGGTGGCAGACGCCTGTAATCCCAGCTACTCGGGAGACTAAGGCAAGGAGAATCGCTTGAACCCGGGAGGCGGAGGTTGCGGTGAGCCGAGATTGCGCCACTGCACTCCAGCCTGAGTGACATAGGGAGACTGCCTCTCAAAAAATAAAATAAAATAAAATAAATCATCAAATGAAAATTCAAAACTAAGCAAAACATAGAAAACTGACTCTACAAAGAAGAAAATCCAAACACTTCTAAAGAGTGTGGTTTCATAGCTGTGAGATCTCTGTCACACCTATATCAATGTCTGCTTGGTCTCACCGAGACTTCTAAAGGGACTGCAGGCACCTCTACTTGCTATTCCTAGATGATCTTCTTCACCGACATGCCCGGATTTCTTTATTTAAAACTCAGGCATAACTAAAGCAGAATAAATTATTATGAAACCGAAAGTTACTGGCACTAAGAAGTCGCAGGCATGGCTGGGCTGGTACTGGTTTCCATTCAATCTGGACTAAGAAATCGTATTCACTGGCTCACTTAAAATCGAAGCATGCACTTGTTACTCTAAGAAATCCCTAACCCAGGACTCGCTCAGAATAAGATATTTTGATACAGGATTAAGCCTCTGTATTGCAGGCGATATAAACGGATACTTGTTCTGCTTAAATCCGGACTCCCTATACAGAGAAACCACAATCAGGGCTATCTTCTGAGTGCAGAAGGTTAAACATTCCCGAAAAGAGACAAAGTAGGCAAGGTCAACCCAGACCTGCTCTACCAACTGGAATTGCTAATCCAAGTGTGGTACGATTAAGTAATTGGTAGTTCTCTTATAAACCACACTAAATTATTTATTCCAAAGAAAAAGACACAGGAAACACTGCTAGCCCTGAGCTTCAAGAATAAGCAATCTTTTAAATTATTTATTTATTTTGACACAGGGTCTCACTGTGTTGGAGTGCATTGGTGCTATCCAGTCACTGTAGCCTCGACCTCCTGACCTCAAGCAGTTCCCCACCTCAGCCTCCCAAGTAGCTAAATTACCACACCTGGGTAATTTTTGTATTTTCTGTAGAGACAGGTCTCACCCTGTTGCCCAGCCTTGTCCCAAACTCCCAAGCTGAAGCAATCCATTCCTCCACTGTTGAAAGTTCTGGAATTACAGGCATGAGCCACGCTGCCCTGTCTGAATAAGTAATTTAAGAACTGATCGTCTGTGCAGTTATATAAATGGTTGCATGGTCCTTCCATAAGAAATAGCAAAGATGATAAACCCCTCTCAGTCTTATGGCCACGATAAAATTCCTGAGTGTAAAACACAATGAATTGCTATACTAAACAGACACACACACACACACACACACACACACACACAAAGCTGTTAAGACAAAAAATTTAACAATTAAAAATTTAAAAACATAACCTAAAATATGTGAAATTAAATGAAAACAAGGATAATACATCTAGGAAGCAATAACTAGAAAAATAGTATGACTAAACTTAAAATGAAAAATATAAATTTTAAATTTGCCAAAACTCTAAAAATTCTACGATCATAAAATTTCTCAAAGTTGAAACATAAAAATAAAATATATGATAAAATAAATATAAATGTTTAAAATATAAGGAAACTGCAAGTTATAAGCGACCTGACACAAGGGAGATTCATCAGCAAAAGAGAATTTAAAAATTGACAACCAGCAATGAAGGCACATCTTAATGTATTTTTATTTTCTGTGTGGAGACGTTTGGTAATTGAGAATCTTTTTTAAGGAGGAGAATCCAAAAAGTCTTCTGCTGCTATCTAAGGCTGCTTAGCTCCACAGATCCGTGGGCAACACGCCCAGGATACAGAGAACGCGGCACAACCAACGCGACAAATCCACTCCAGGCAGTCTGAGAAACCCGGGAGGTGGCGCCACCAATGGAAGGCTGAAGGACGGTGGCATTCCAAAAGGCGCCCGCTGTCACAGGCCTCGGTGTCCTCCAATCTGTCCCAGGGCTGGGGAGGACTGCTCAAGGGAAGCGACTGGAGTGTGAGTCTATCGGGTTCCTCTGCCTGGTCCACCTCTTCTACAAGTGCCTCTCGCTGCCTCTGTGTGCCGGGCCAACCGAACTCACCGGGCTGGGCTCTTCTTGGTTCCAAGACACTCTGGACTCCGGAAAAAAGTCCGTTTCGCGGGTAGATCCAGTGTAGCCGCCAGCAAGGACTGGAAAGCAGTCCCAAATCACTGCCGTCCAGTGAGTACTCTCCCAGTACTGGATACAAAGGAAGAGGCCACGGCCCACAATCTTCTGAACTCACAATAGGCGGAGGCTGGGGCTCTGGCGCCACCTCCGCGGAATCCCAGGCACGCTTCACACGGCCAAGAAAATGTTGTTCCATCTCTTAAGCCTCAGACCAAGAGGAAACAGAGGTTTCCGCTGATCAAGTAGCGAGAGCCTTCTGCACTCCATCAGCCTGGGTATTTATGCTCTCCGGAGCCCATGGGCGGAGGCCAGCCAGATATTAAGAAACTCAATAGTAACAAATGAGCGAAAATTAGTAGACAATTGAAAAACGGTAACATTTTAGAGAGTACATAGAACCAAAACGAACCGTAATTCTGACAGAAAAACATAGCAAGAAAAGAAACCGAAATGAAACGGACACTAAGCAAACCTTGCAGCGAACTAGCGCTCCAGAACGCAGGTATTAAAGACCGCTTCAAGGGCCAAGAACCATCTTTTTCTCGAAAACGAGCATTTCGAGAAACCGTCCGCTAGGGCTCTGAGCTACTAAGGATCTCGCTAGGTAGAAATGAGCATTTCGAGAAACCGTCCGCTAGGGCTCTGAGCCACTCAGGATCTCGCTAAGTAGAAACGAGCATTTCGAGAAACCGTTCGCTAGGGCTCTGAGCCACTCAGGATCTCGCTAAGTAGAAACGAGCATTCGAGAAACCGTCCGCTAGGGCTCTGAGCCACTAAGGATCTCGCTAAGTAGAAACGAGCATTTCGAGAAACCGTCCGCTAGGGCTCTGAGCCACTAAGGATCTCGCTAAGTAGAAACGAGCATTTCGAGAAACCGTCCGCTAGGGCTCTGAGCCACTCAGGATCTCGTTAAGTAGAAACGAGCATTTCGAGAAACCGTCCGCTAGGGCTCTGAGCCACTAAGGATCTCGCTAAGTAGAAACGAGCATTTCGAGAAACCGTCCGCTAGGGCTCTGAGCCACTCAGGATCTCGCTAAGTAGAAACGAGCATTTCGACAAACCGTTCGCTAGGGCTCTGAGCTACTCAGGATCTCGCTAAGTAGAAACGAGCATTTCAAGAAACCGTTCGCTAGGGCTCTGAGCTACTAAGGATCTCGATAAGCAGAAATGCGCGTTGAACTTAGCAAGCGCAGGCACCTAGTGGATAGCGGGTGTACTGCCAAACAAATATCGATCGGTTTGACGCCACAAATGGTGCTGCTAGAGAGAAACAGCGTGCTCTTAGAAAGGAGCGGTGCTTCCACGCCTAAACATCCTGTTTGGAGAAATGAACGGACTCTGTTTAAACGTGTTGTGACAGCAAAATGTGTTGTGGCATTTTAATGTGTTTTAATCCGTTTTATTAATCGGTTTAATGTGTTTTAACTGGTTTTAATGTGTTGTGACAGAAAAAGCGCCGGCTAACGGTATCACGTTATTACTGGTGCGTAAAGAAGAGGCTCGGTGCAATCATTGTTCTGCACGGCAAAACGGGGTTCAGGAAGTATCTAGGAGACACTAGCGTTTCTAACACCGAGAAAGTGACAGCACAAAGAACGTAAGGACTCCACGCGAAAGGGAAAGGTCAGGTTGGGTGCAACAACTGAGAAAACGTCCAGTGGACTGTACTGGCAAACGTGCTGATGCAAAACAGCCAGCTCCACAAAGGAAGCGGAGCCGCCAGACAGAACCCGGGTCCTCACAGCAGCAAGGCTGAGACGGAGCTCGGCTCCCCCGTCCCTGAAAGAACGCAGTCAAGGAGCACGAAGCTGAGACTCTCAAAGTTACTAGGAAAACACACACACACACACACACACATACACAAACACACACACACACATTACAGACTGGGCGCGGTGGCCCACGCCTGTAATCACAGCAGTTCGGGAGGCCAAGGTGGGCGGATCATTTGAGGTTAAGAGTTCGAGACTAGCCTGGCTAACAAGGTGAAACCCTGTGTCCGCTAAAAATACAAAAAAAAAAAAAAAAAAAAGGAGGAGGAGGAGGAGGAGGAGGCGGCGGCGGCGGCGGAGGAGGAGGAGGAGGAGGAGGAGAGGGAGGAGAAGGAGGAGAAGAAAAAGAAAACAGAAATTAGCCGGGCGTGCTGGTGGGGGCCTGTAGTCCCAGCTACTTGAGAGGCTGAGGCAGGAGAATCGCTTCAACCCGGGAGGCAGAGGTTGCAGTGAGCCGAGATCGCGCCATTACACTCCAGCCTGGGGAACAAAGGGTGACTCCCTCTCAAAAAAAAAAAAAAAAAAAAAAAAAAAATACATTCAAATAAAAATAACACTTTAAAATAATAAAAGTCTGAAATGCTAGTAAAAATGAAAGCAAACACATCTGTAACATCGTTCTCAAAGCAAAAGACACAAAACTGATTTTAAAATAAACGAAATTTGCAGGGAACGAACCCTACAAAAAAGAAATTATAAATATTGCTAATGATGCAATCCTATGATTAGGATATCTCTGTCAGCTCTAACCCCTACAGGTTGCAGCTCTCTAAATTTCCTACGACAAACAAACAGAAATAGTCACGGTTAAACGTGGTTGGCTACGACTAAACGTAGCACACTTTGGGAGGCTGAGGCGGGTGGATCACGAGGTCAAGATATCGAGACCATCCTGGTCAACATGCTGAAACCCCGTCTCTACTAAAAATACAAAAAATGAGCTGGGCATGGTGGCGCCTGCCTGTAATCCCAGCTACTCAGGAGACTGAGGCAGGAGAATTGCCTGAACCCAGGAGGCGGAGGTTGCAGTGAGCCAAGATCGTGCCATTGCACTCCAGCCTGGGTAACAAGAGCGAAACTCCATCTCAAAAAAAAAAAAAAAAAAAAAAAAAAAAAAAAATCGTAGCAGCTGGTATATCTCGGTTTGGTACACAAGAGGAAAAAGTCGCGTTCGACAGGACTTGCTATTGTGAAAGGGAGCTTGGTAAAACTGAGAAATCGAGTTTGCCGCCATTTCCTGACTTGAACACAGGCGTGACAGGAAGCCTGTATTGTTCTTGCATTCCACTCAGTGACTTACAGCGGGAGAGGAGGCGGTTTAGGCGCCAAGAATCTAGCGGATCCGGCTTGTCCCAGGAACAAAGTAAAAAACAGTCTAGTCTCGAACAGCTTCCTACGCAGGAAACAGCCATCCAACCTCCGTGACTGGACTCTTCTGGGCCACCACTTGCTCCCAGGCTCCCCTACTCGTCCAGAGTCCTCAGGATCCTACAGGAGGGGTCAACAACTGCTTGCCTTCGAAACTTGAAATTCTCGGTTTAAGATTACGAGAGGAGAGTGAAATGCACTGCGTTTTCTGACCGCAGCTTCAGACCTCCCTCGCCGGTCCCAGTACCTCTCTTGCCGGATGGAACTCTGTGGGAACCGCTTGTTGATTCTGATGGTTTACTGTCAGATGTCCTTGATATTGGGGATAGGAGTTGGAAGAGGGCAGTAGAGAAAAACGGACTGCAAGACTCCAGCACAGTAGGTGGGATTGATGGCAGATGTCTGCTGTCTATCCAAGCCCAATGAACATCTCATCTCAAGCTGCCATCCACTTTCCTACACCCTTGATCTGTGAAATGGATCACTGACGTTTTCTCTGTCTTTAGGGAAATGCAAAGGAGGCGAATTTTCAAGCGCTTGAATTCAATCTTACACTTTTCAGTCCAAGTGGGGCTATAAACTCTTTCCTCATAGGGAATAACTGCCAGTGCCTGGAAGAAAAACGCCTTTTTCCCATAAGCTTTCACATTTTTCCAGGAACATTCCCACTCAAACTCATCATCTCCCAGCTGCACCCTGGAGATGCTATGCAACCAAGTCCATCCTTTTCTAGATGAACCTGGGCAAAGGACAGGTCCATGGAGCCTAGAGAAGGGCCTTGACAAGTCAGGAGACCCAATTTAGGGTCGCAATTCTCACCCACTCACAAGGCTTATGCCTTGATCTTCCCCTCCCACCATACAATGTCTTCTGCTAGCCAGTTTCTCCCTGGTACTTGAGGAACCTCCAATTGCCTCCTGGTCTTTAGGATGGAATAACGGGAAAATGGCATAGTTTCCACTTAAAAAGTTACAACGACTTCACCAGAAGGAACAGCTCAGGCAGAGCCTTCTTAAAACAAATGCCTGCCCACTGCTTCGCGGTCCTCATTTCCACCCCAGCAGAGCATTTTATGCAAAAAGCTGTAATCCCAGCATTTTGGAAGGCTGAGGTGGGAGGATCCCTTTAGCCCACAGGTTCAAGACCACCCTAAGCATAAAGTGAAACCCGCCTCTAGCCGAGATGTGGTCAAGCGTGCCTGTAGTCCCAGCTACTCTGGATACTGAAGTGGGAGGATCTCTTCAGCCCAGGAGGTCCAGGCTGCTGTGAAAGGTGACTCAGGACTGCAGCACTCCACTTAGGCCTGAATGACAGAGGGAAACATCTCAAAAAATAAAAATAAAGCCAATATTAAGACCCCTGTAAGAAAGGGTCACCTGAGACATTATTACATATACTATTAACAAAGGAAAATGCTGCAAATTATATAATGTGTCCCAATGATATGAGGCCACACATTGTAAAATATATGCCTATTTCAGAGATACTAAAATAAGAAAAATATTTACCCTAGAATTGATTAAATTCAGGTATCCACTCCTTTATTTTCAACCTGTGGTGCCATTTTAGTTTGTTTGCCTCTTGAAAATTGCATAGAGATTAGAGTTGTTATTTTTTGAATTATTTTAATTTAATTAATTTATTTTTCAGATAGAATCTCGCTCTGTCACCCAGGCTGGAGTGCAGTGGCACAATCTTGGCTCACTGTAACCTCTGCCTCCTGGGTTCAAGCCATTCTTGTGCCTCACCCTCCCGAGTATCTGGGACCACAGGTGCTTGACAGAACACTCAGATAATTTTTGTATTTTTAGAAGAGATGGGGTTTTGCCATGTTAGCCAGACTGATCTCAAACTCCTGGTCTTATGTGATCCACCTACCTCAGTCTCCCAAAGTGCTGGGATTACAGGCATGAGCCACCGTGCAAAACCGAGTTGTGATTTTTTAAACCTATTTATATGATTGTATTTGTTTTCTTGCAATGTAATTCAGTACATTGAAATGGTTGGGTAAATGGGAAAATCATCTTCCCCACTCTTCCAGTATCTGTAAGGTGCAATTTCTCATAAATACTTTCAGCTTCTTGCCTCCCTTTTCAGTGCTCTTCACATATTGTGTTGTTTGTGGCACGAAAATCATTATTTGTGACAGACACTGGGCCAACTGTATTTTGTCCTTTATCTTGTTTCATTCTCAGCCAAAAACTGTGGCGAGCACTTGCTTCTCAGTTCTCTCCATTGTGTAGATGCACAGCCCCACTTAGGGAAGTTGGAGTGTGCACAGCTCTGCCTGTGGCTGAGCAGATAAATGTAATTTTAGCATTCAATGTTAACTTTTGGTGCAAATTTAAAGCTCATCTTCTAATAGTGTGTGTGTGTGTGTGTGTGTGTGTGTGATTTTACTGTGTCCCTTCTCCCTAACACTTCAGTTCAAAATACGAACCTGAATTCTGAGTCGACTGTTCTGAACACACTCCCTCAAAATATGACTGTAGGACACCATAATACGCCACCCCTATATACCAATACACCTCTGGCATATTGATTATTTCAGGCTGGGCATGATGGTTCACACTTGAAATCCTAGTGCTTTGGGAGGCCAGGAGTTCAGACCAGCCTGGGCACATAAGGAGACCCATTTCTACAAAAGTATTTTTAAAAAATTAGCTGGACAGCCAGGTGCGGTGGCTCATGCCACCTAGCACTTTGGGAAGATGAGGTGGGTGGATCACCTGGGGTCAGGAGTTCAAGACCAGACTGACCAACATGGTGAAACCCCATCTCTACTAAAAATACAAAAAAAGTCAGCCTGTAATCCCAACTACTTGGGAGGCTGAGGAAGGAGAATCACTTGAACCCAGGAATAGAGGTTGCAGTGAGCTAAGATTGCACCACTGCAGTCCAGCCTGTGCAATGGAAGTGAGATTCCATCTCAGAAACAAACAAACAAAAAAATTAGCTGGGCATGGTGGCATGTGCCTGTAGACATAGCTATGGGGTAGGCTAAGGCAGGAGGATGGCTTGAGCCCAGAAGTTTGAAGTTACAGTGAACTATGATCATGTTACTTGCATTTCAGCCTGGGTGACGTAGTAAGACCCTCTCTCTAAAACAAAAAAGAGGGCCGGGCACTGGTGGTTCACGCCTGTAACCCCAGCACTTTGGGAGGCCAAAGCCGGCAGATCACTTGAAGCCAGGAGTTTGAGACCAGTCTGGCCAACATGGTAAAACCTGTCTCTACTAAAATACAAAAAT